ATATAAAATTCAACAAAAACAGCTCAAATGTTCATATTATTATTCTCTTTGCCAGCCTACGACAAAATGGCTTGATATATTGTACTCAAATCTCTTGTAGAATACTAAATAAGGTACTGCAAAGGTCATAGATGTATTAAAAAGTCGATTTGTTTCTTTTATATTTTACATAAGCTAAAAATCATCATAATTCTAGTGTAAATGATGTTATCATTACCCCCTTGGAGTTAGCTTTCTTAAAACTATCTGGTCATCCTTTAAAAAGCTTAAGTACAGGGTGAAGCAGGAATTACAAGCCAATAACAGATGAAAATTAGATGATTGTAACATCTAGATAAATAATGCTTTGTACACTATATAATCGGTGTCCTTAGGGAGCCAACCCCTATACTATGTATGAAGGAGTAAAAAAAAATCAATACACATAATATTAAAATTTATGACACACATTCATAGATTACTTTAAAATACTGGAAGCTATATTTAAAACGATGTTTTAGACGTAGATGTTTTATTTGAAAAGGTGCTTTTCTAATGTTAGAATTGTATATACATTTTCTCTTCGCTATGCATTATACCTAAATATGAATATAAAGAAAACAAATAAACTGGAATATTTTTAAAAATTAAAATTTTGTAAAAGTGTAATAGGGATCGAAGGTGCCTGTCTTTGAAAGTGGGTTTCTTGGGGTACTCCCGTTTTTCCTCCAGAACAAACCATAGGGCACTTGGACTTAATTATCCCAGCTGTGGCATTGGATTTACAGATCCCAATGACCCTGTGTCTCTGATCACAGGAAATTTGTTATTGTGTGCTTTATCGAATATATTGACCTGCTTCTTCTTAACGACATCATTGGCTTTGGTCATTTTTCTGCCCTGAAATCCTATGAACATACCTTTCTCATATCTCCATTCTCCAACCTCAAGACTTTAAAATTGCCAGAAGGCAACATATGACCAACCTCTCTAACTAAAATCAAATAATTCACGAATGTAACAAATACATTATCGCGAGCGGGCAAAGGGGATAGTAATATCCCTGAACACCCCAGTTTAGGAAAGATTCTTTCCTTCATAAACCAAAGTCCTGTCACGAAATTTTCGTTTTTTTAGGTCATAGATATAAAAAGTAAAGAAACAAGGTGTTAAATAACAACTTTCTATGAAGTTGCAATCCTTATATCAGCTAGTGTGTAAATTTATAAGTAATGGAACAAGTAAAAAATCACTGCTAATTAAAATCCCTGTGAAGTTGCAAATCTTTATTTTGGCTGCTAGTTAGCTATTGTTGCTATATATATATAGTAGTCTTTTAATTTTTGCAGTTGGCCAAATAAAATTTTATTGTGCATTTTAAACGTTGATCATGTTTTTATTTTTAAAATTTTCAGTGTGCATTATAATTCTAATATTATATTACAACATTAAAAACTTTTTATTCCTAATCTTCCCCGTGTATGCTGTATACGTTTTCCCCATAATATTGGTATCTTGCACAGAAAAGATACGTGATAAAATATTATATCCTTACTACTTCTTGAGACTTTTGGAGCCTGGTACTGTTCATTAGCAACTTGTTTCTTTAACATCTGAATTCAAAACATTAATTTCAACCTCTGCGTAGATCAAAAATTTATTTTTAAACGAAACTACAATAAGATGGTTGAAGTAGATATAGGAAATGGTCAAAATGAGTAAATTGTGTGTAACTCTATTTTGGAATGAAAATATGTTACTGTATTTTTTGAATGAAACATTTTTATTAATTTAAATTGAAATTTTCTACATTTTGAAAATATTTAATGTACTTTAGGAAGAATCACCTTAGGATTCAATAAGTCATACACTTAAAAATTTTACAATTCAAATATCAGTTTAATTAACATGTGAAATTTGCTGAATTACATATTTAAAATGAATCTTCCATTGATTTTCAAATCAGCACAATTACCTTATGAATACAGATGTACTGTTTGTCATCTTAATAGAACTATCAACAGGATAAAATTGCCCTGGATGTACTATGACCGAATTAAGAAATTATCTGAGTAAAAATAAGCAACAAGAAGAGCTAGAATCAGTGAAGATTTCACAACCTTCCCCAGCTTGGAGTATTTCGGTTTTTCCATCAATTCTAATCTGTACAAGAACATCCCTCCAGTAATGATCGATATGTGCCTCACCCATGTTTTCTGAATGGTCCTGCATTCTGGCCTTCTCAGCTAGGTACAGATTCCACTCATCAAGTACTTCAACAATGTCTCACTGACATTGGGAAGCTTTTTTGCCAGCCTCTTGATGGAATGAACTGTTCCAGTTTTCACTGGATTCAGGCATCCTATGTATTTCAAGATACTTTCTGAAATAGGCAGATAGTTAATTAGGTAGGTGACAGCAGATGAATAAAAGGCATGTATTCCTAGCAACATCTTACGCTTGTCACTGCTGGACAGCTTTTGCATGGATTTTCTAGTTGGTTCACCAACAATCACATGTTCATCATCCATCTGGTTCTTAACATCTGAATGCTTGACCTCACACAAATCACTGCCTTCCTTTGTTCCAACTACTGCAAAATTAGCCTCCTAACTTGTTCACTGATTTTATCATACAGAATGTGAATTTGTGGACTTTCTGATTGCAAAAGCTCCGGGAATGAGTAGAAAAGTGGAGCCACTGCCTGGATGAAGTAAAGCAAAATCAGGGTTTCTGGGCTTTTCAGCTTCAATAAGATCCTCCTAAAAGCTGCACTCTTGGGGGAATTTTATCTTTTCTCTTCCTCTTTCATATACTTATCAATGGCCTCCCATTGTTCAAGAATTATATCCACAACAGGTGACAAAGTAAGCCACCTAGATGACATATGGGGTTGAAACATGTGCTCTTCAACATCAATATCAACTTGCACATTGTTGTAATCCTCCTTCCTTGCTGCAGACTGCTTAAAGAAGGTAAACAGGTCAATTGCCAATTCATCAATGTCTTGTGTAAGAGTTTCCTTTGCCTGTCCAAATGCATTGTGGACAGTGTGTATATAGCAGGAACCAATGTCTACCAGACCAGGATGGCCACTTTCTAGAAGATGAGAGCTAATTATTCTCCAGATTGTTTATTGACATTTGGTCCATCACTACACAGTGCCACAAGAAGATTTACATTCAGTTTAGCATCACTGAGAGACTTAAGGATAGCCTTGGCTACACCTTTCCCTTTGGCATGACCAAACGTTAAGCATTTATAGAAACGAACTTGGACTTCATCCTTAAGTGGTGACCAGTATCTGATGTGCAAGTCAAGCTATTTCTTCCCTTGAGCTGTTGTTGCTTCATCAAAATGAAGTGTGAATGGAGTCTTGGAATCATTTACATCAGCAACCAATGCTTCAGTAAAATATGGGCCTATCCCATCTGATAACATGTATGATACCTTCGACCTTGCCATGTGGAATTTTGATGCAGCTGAACAATCAAACATAGCTTTGAACATGTCAGATATACCACCGCAAGAGCAAAACCTATAATTGCTAGCAGCCATCTTTAAACATCATATTGTTTTTGAAAATAACACATGTTCATTAACAATTTTGACCTTCATTTAACATGATGTCAAAGCACTCTTAGCCATCTCAATGTGTTTTTCCCTTAGCATGCTGCTTTAATTGTTCTAGTCCAGATCCATCACATGCTATTTCCTTTATACACAAAACACAAAATGCTTTAAAGTCATCAGAGCCCTTTTTGCACCAATGTTTGATTTCATGTCCAGTGTTGCCCTTCTTTAGCAGCCAGTGTTCTTGAAATTTGGTCTTTCCAGCAGGCATTTTCAATACTTCAAGTTAAAATCTCACTGTATACATCTCTGAAAATCAACAACAAGATAGAAATGTTTTTTTGTACAACACAGTGTAAGTAAAAAGGTTGCTGCTTCTTCAACTCTCTGAAAACAAAAATATTAATTGACCACATTCAGCTGAAATTAAGTAATAGCAAAACAATAAATCAGCCAAATATGCATGTATAAGAAAATACTTAACCATTTGAAACACTATATTGTGCTTCAAATATTCATCAGTAATATATTTTATATCTAAAGCTCATAATCCAACCCAACCCCAAATATTGTTGCTCTGACTAATTACTATCCATTAAACTAGATAGCAACAATGAGTCATAACACAGCATAAGACTGATGAACATGGCTTCCTTGAATATATGGATTGCTGATACAGTTGTGAATATGGGTGATTCAAGTTTGTTCTCCAGAGAAAAAAAAAATTCTACAATAACTTTATCATACTTTCATTTCAAAGAAATTTTGGATGTGTGTAACACATTTGGAAGGCTTTTATCACCTTAGAAATTAAATACCAATTATACTGCCAACATATAACAGTAGTACTTAACATTACCTTTTTTGGGGGATCTAATTGGCAGTTTTATTTTTAAATATTAAAAAATCCCCAAGACCTGAAAAATATAGGAACACTGGACGCCCTGTACTTGGTCCTTTGCAGAAGTCTAAATATTTGTACATATATATATATATATATATATATATATATATACATATAAGTACTTATTTAGTTTACTTTCCTTTACTTAATTAACTAAAATACAATAAGTAACTTATTAACTTTAAGTTTTACTTATTACTGTCTGTTAC